ACCTCACAACGCAGCGACGATCGTCAGATTCATCGAGACGATTCACGACGCTGCACCGAATTCGAAGACTCATACAACGAGGAAGAAGAAAGTTACCTTTCCCGTCTCATCACGTCCGAAGTGCATCACGACAACGTAGAGGATCGCCGATTCGACCTCAATTGCCCCACCAGGCGACTCGATAACGGCTTTTGCAAAGCTTTAGAAGATCATTCTTCGGAAATCGTCGAAGAAGACATTGTCACGAGAGAGACTGATGATTCGACACGCTTGACCGAAAGGATTCCAAACGACACCACGGAAGAGGCTCTATCCTCGCAGACTTCGGAACCATTTGGGAGCGAAGATCACAGTCAGTCGTTTCACACCCCGAAAATGTACCGGCAGAAAGAGACACTTTCCAGCGAAAGATTCCAAAATGACACCGACGTGTCGGATAAATACGATGACGACATTGCGACCAACGTGACAAACGTGCCCATGCTCGCGCTAAATTCGCAAGACATTTCGTGCTCGACTTCGGCATACAGTCGAGAGTGCTCCGCAGTGCAGCCTGTCGACCCGCACGAGCTGATCGAAGCTTTATCAGTCGTATCCCTGCAGCAAGGAAAGGATCAGAGAGACCACGTCAGAAAACACGAAGATCATCGCGGAAAAGACACCTTCGATACATCCTGTAAAGTTTCGTGTCCTACCGTAAAAGGAGAAACGTGGCGTGTACCGAGGCCCTCGATTTCGCAATCGCCTGGAAGAGCTCTGTCGCGTGTTCCTTCCAGAATACCCGTCAGAGTCTCCAGCAGTAAGATCGTATGTTCCAGCAGCGCGACTAAATTGGGATATCGCGCGACTTCAGAGAGTAAAATCGTGAATTACGAGGAAATAAAACTCACTGATCCAAATAATGTTCCGACTGAGGTGTGTAGAGGTATTGTTCCCCGACAACTAGATGTCAACTCGTATTACCGGATCCATGAGCAGGATGCTTTGTCGAGATCGAGAAATGATAACATTGAAGTCACGATCGTTGAAACACGTCCGAACACGTTCATGTTTAAGGATGAGAAAACGGAATGTGAAGTGAACGAAGGCGAGCATGCGAGTGTACCTTCTTCAAATCAGCTGAGTCCTCAAAGTGCTGAACTTGAAGGTGACCTGCGTCGCAGAGCGCAAATTCCAGTCGAAAACAGACGTGGCGAGAAGAGTTGCCCGCTTGTGTTCTGTCCAAGTGAAGTAGTTTTCCTCGGCAATCGAGGCTTCTCGATGGTTGATGACGACCTACAATCGCGGTCAGATCGCAGCATGTTGCGGAGGAGCGCAGAGACCACAAATGTCATGAGCGCTACCAAATTGTCATGTCTGTCAAGTTACAGAAACGACGTGAGCCGGTCGTCTCAGGTGGAGTCGGCGAGAAATGTGAGGGAAAATGTCACTTGGCGAACAGAGGACGAGTGGGCGTCGAACAACGACGAAGAATATCCTGAAGACGAAGAGGACAAGGATCATTGTGGGTCGTGTGACGACAAACCGGAAATTGTACACTTGCGGAAGAGGAAGTGCTTCGAGTCGACAGTCGGAAAAGCGTGTGACCTGTCTTCGAATCGATTGGCGATGGAGAAAATCGTTAAGGAGCAAAGAGTTGGAGACGACCTGGAACCTTGGAAGGACGAGTCAAGCTTCAATCAAAATCCAGAGTGGTCAAAGGTCGCGCAACCGGAAGACTCAGTGTTCCAGTTGCGCAAGACCCAAAAGACCTCCAGTTTCGCCGCGCAAATATCCTCATCGATGTTGAACTTGAGCGACGAGCTGAAGAGGAAGAAGAGGAAGAGCCAAGAGCGCTTCCCCTTTACGATCTCAGAAGCGTCGGTGGCGCTCTCTTTCAAACGCGAGAATACGATCGATTCCCAGATGCCCGATAAAGACTTTCGTGACGAGAAGATGGACGACCAGCTGAATGAGAAGACCACGCGTCAGCTGAAGATGCACCCGAGCATAACGAGACTGGCCAACGCGGGCTTGGAGGATACCGTTGCGGACATTCTGTACTGCGTCCAGCAGGATCAAAAGGAGAACGAGTTGTCCTCGAAATCCCGGATAAAGGGTTTCATGCAGGTGTTTTCTCCAAAATTCAGAAGAACGAAACAACGAAGTGATATTCAAACCGCAAAGCCGGCTGAGGTCATCTACAAAAATCGAGCCTGCCAAGTGGACTCCAGAGCCAACAGTTGCTCGGAGTATTCATCGGGTGAGGAGACCCACAGAACGAATCGCGACAAATATTCGATCGTTCATCGCGTCGCGAGGTCGAATCCGATGCTCATCTTCGGGGGGAACGTATTGAGGAAGACGTCGAGTCTTACAGCGATTTCTCAGGATCATCCCTATAGGCGACACGATCGGGATGATCTGTGGGTTCGTAGCTTCAAGGAGGCTCCCTTAGAGGTAATGAAAAATAGCGAAACGTTGCGAAAACAAGATCAGATGGACGATTCGAAAGATCAATATTCGATTTTTCTTGCGAAAAACCTTCAGTCCAACAAAGTATCTGTGTCGAACATTGATCGTGGTGATTCTCCGGAAGTACAGCAACAACAACGCGATGCGCTGATTTCTGATCATGTAGCATTATCAGTGGGAAGAGGCAAAAGAGATATCGATGTGGACATTAGCCCTGAAATTGACGAGATAGAAGAAGTCTTGTCTGGTTGTCTCTGTTTGAGGCTATGTTGCTTAATTACGCCGCCTAAGCATCGGTTATCTATAAGGAAACAAGTGCCATCTTCTAAAACGAAAAAGTCCAGTTTATTTCTGTGGAAAAGAAAAAAGTAATTTTATATTGCTCGTTAGCATATTCTCTCTTTTAAAAGCACTAAAATAATCTGTAGCTTTACTTTATTTTTGAAGAATAGACTTTTAGTATATTTCGATACTTTTAACGATAGTATCAGCAACGGGTACTATAGTATTATTGAGTAATCACGGAGCTAAATGCGACAATATCGCCTCTTCATTATCCTTTGAGATAATACCGACTGTTGGTCTCCACAATACCTACTCATTATGATTCTACGCGAACATTTGACGTATTTTCTACGTGATGTGTATACACAGTTGTTTTTTATATATAGATAATGTAAATTATATAGAATATTGCAAATTATATTAAAAAATATATATACAAAAAAGAGTAGTTGCATTATAAGATAGTTATCGTATTTGTTTCGAGTATTAATTATAAGTGTAATATTTGAATTTTTTTATAACAAATTAAATGACATTTTCATTTCATTATGTGACAGTTTGGTAGACTTAATTCTTTGTACATAAAAACATAACTAGAAAATTCTTTAACATTGCACTTTAACATTGTTTAAGAAACAGCATTTATAAATTTTTACACCAGGCTTTTAAAGGTTGATTAAAAATATACTTTTCTTAAATTTTGAGCCATACGTTCTTCCAACGATTACCATAGATCACTCATTATCTACATAGATGACATTTCATACGTAATTTACGTTTTGTCCACACGAGAACATAAAGTATCAATTTACGCGTAAACTCTAATGTGAAAATCTGTATGACTTCATTTCCTAAATACAAATATCTAAAATACATCTCACAGATATCTTAAAGACATTTGAAATAAGTAAGATATCTTTTACATATATGCCTCTAACCCTTATAGAAATATCATACTAAGAATCATTGATAATTACTTATTTTCAGTATTAAAAATACTGGATAATAAGTAATTATCAATGATTCTTAGTATGATATTTCTATAAGGGAAGATGTCTCTTAGATATATATTTTGTATGGATTAGGACGTCCTCAAAAAAAGTTATTTATTAATTTTTAAAAAATTAATAAAAAATATCCACACAAAGCTTAACTTTCTTACAAAATCGCATTAAAACTGTGATGCCAATATATATCTCTGTATTTTCTAAAGCACTTGATACACACATAATAGTAGAAATTTTATTGTAAATAAATCGATTCTAAATGGATTCTCATCAATTTTTTCAAAATTTGTATATCACTTTTTGAGAACATTTTTAAATAAGAACCACGCAGCATCTTTAAATAGTTAAACCAAGTATTTCACTCAGGTATTTCACATTTACTTTCATGATGTTATGCGATGGCGTATATCTCTTCTTTGGGATCTTGAAGCAGGAAATGAGGTATCGTGAGTATCAACAGTTAGTTTTTTTTTTTTAGATGATAATGAAGAGATAGTATTGTCGCCTTTGATCGCTTACGTTGCGGGTGTCATCTGCAAAAATATTATGTTTTACTCTTAAGTAATCTAAATATCATTACTTTCGGTATTGTACATAGAATTGCAATTAGAATTTAATTGAACTTAAGACTCCTGAACACTCGCTGCGGCCATCTTGGGTTATAACGTTAAAAGCGAGAAATAACACATTGAAAATTCTTACATACTTTTCTCAAATAAAAAAAGATCTGTATGAAAGAGAATACTTCTGATCACCTAAGCATACTTATAAAATACTCCAGAAACTTTTCCCTTGTCAGTCACAATAAACAGCCGTAAAATTAATGTGACATGTAATCTTTCTCTTTAACCTTTCCTCGTGATTTTGTCACCTCCATTTTACGGTTATTTATTGACTGTCAAGATACTGATTTTCCTGTTCCTTACGTCATCGATTCCAAATTCTACAGTGAGTACTCAAAAGTCTTAACAATGACTCTATGTAATTATCATTTATTATTATTTATGAACTATTGCAATGTTTAATCTCTTTTTGGAACTATTTGCCAGAGACATTGTCTCGAATCTTCGAAGATATTTGCTACATGTAGTTTGGTAAAAAATAAGGAACTACAGGTGGCCAGTAATTGGTTAAAGTATCCTAATTAAACGCAGCACGCAAGGAATTAGGATACTGGAAATACTTGGGGCGATGATCGGGCGTGAATGAACGATCAGAGAGAGCCTCGATGGCGCACGATCGAAACGCTCACAATCGTCGATTCATGTTCTTTATTTATTCGCCGTTCGTACATACTTGTTCAATAATATTATTTGCACGCTTACTTCCGTCATGTTTCATACTTGAATAAGAGTCTTTGCCGAAGATGCGCATTATCGCAGTTATCGCCTTAATAAAACGTTTCTTCGCTACGCATTTAACTTATTATCATTATTATCGTTATCATTATAGAAAAAATAAGTCTTTAAATAATCACATAAGAGTCGTCGAGTCTTTCAGGACTGGAAAAGGGTTTTCGGAGTAGTATATTGAGTAAAATATACCCGCGAATAACGAGCAACTATTTATGAGTGATTTAGCATATATAAAATATATGATATATGATATATGACACCTATAATATAGCGTATATTTTATATATGGACTTGATTACATTTATAGATACATATTCCAAATCATCATATGCTATTTGCAAATATATTTTATCCAAAATCGGATTTAAGGAGAGGGCGAGAAAGAGGAAGAGGACAGAAGGATCATATGTATATGTATACATATATGTATGCATGCGTGAATGCGTGCAAACGCACACATGTGTATGTGTATGAACGCATACACATACGTCGTATATGTATGCGTGTGTATACGTGTGCATGCGTGAGTATTCGTGGATACATGATACGACGAAGGAACGGAGAGTGAGATGAAGAGATGAGGTGATGGGGTGATGGGGGAGGAAAAGGATGAAGGGTGGCTGGTTGTTTGAGAAATAACGTTGTCAGCCCTATACGGTATTTGCGCTTTTCAGCTCCCTCGAAACAACGATGCCGCGCGCGCACGCACGCTAAGCCTAGAAAAAGATCTATCTACCGAGAAGACCAGTCGTTTTCGCGTTTTAGGACTACACGAGGAACGCGATTACACGTTATTCCGCTACCGAAGAGGGCTTTAATCGATTCGATCGGGGGGCAGCGTGAGGAGCCAGGGAGGGGAAGGTAGAGGAAAGGGGAAGAGGGGTAGGGCGGTCGACGGCCGCCGAGTAAGAGCGTAAAGAAAATCGACGCTAAAGGCAATGCGTTTCCGCGATCCACCTCGAGCGTTCTCTCTCGTCTGTCTCTCTATCTCTCTACCTATCTTCCTTTCTCTCGCTTTTTCCTCTCTCTCTCTTTTTATCCCCCCTCTCTCCCTCTCCTTCTCTCACTGTCCCCTTTTCGCCGTCCCCGAGAAAGGAAGGGAAGGTTCGCCCACCGACATATACGCTTCGCATACAATCGCGCGCCTCCACGTACCCATGCGACCACATGCGTGCTACGTACATTGACACGATACGCATGCGTGCTCGACGTCAATCATACACCGCGCGACATACTCTCGCCTTCTTGTTCGCATCTTCGTTGGGCGCGATGCGCGATGCCAGCTCGAGCGCGTCGACCGAACGATCGGCGTGACTTCTGCACCGTCCACCGCGCGCGACACTATTCAGCTAGAAAAATATAGAATTTACTCGCCTGCTTTCCTGCGCGAGAGAACCAAGTCGATGGGGGAACCGTGACCTCTGAGAGAAACGAAGGGAACCGAGGAGGAGCGCACTCATCGTAGAGACACACGACGCTCGCTTGGTAATCCAACAAAAATGCAAATGTCTGAAACGAGGAAACGTCGTTCGATCCGCAGCGAACGACAGGACGGAGAGGCCACGGCGTCCCTGATACAAGGAAAAGACGTCGTGGGTAAGATTATGGAAATGACCTGTATAGCGATATATACGCATGCTCGCGCGCCGTATTAGTCGATCTCCCTCTTTCTTTCTCTCTCTTTCTCATGGTACACGAATATACGAAGCTGTTCGCTACTTCGCGGACGTCGAGCTAATTCGGGATCTACCCGATTTTAATTACCTAATAAAGCACGAGGAGGAACGCGCTCGAGCGATTTTTTATGCGCGGCACAATTATATCTCCGACCGGTTACTCCAATCGCGTTTCAAAGGTCGCTCTCGCCGCGAGTCAAAACGCGATAGCGAACACGGACACGAATAACGCTTCTACGAGATTGTACGATTTGGCAACGGTGAGCAATCATTTATCTGAATAATATAGGCGATAAGCGGACGAAGCTTCCTCTTCCGATCTCAAAGCGGCATCCGAGATGTGATCCGCTGTGATTTCTGCTTGTTCTTTCCGCTTGATTCTATCATTCTCTCTCTCATTCTCTCTTCCCTTCTTTTTCGCTTTTTCTTTCTTTCTCTGTTCGTCTGCTTGCACCACCCCGCGATCGAAATTCGTTCGCGAGGAACACGTTTATTTCTCTTTCGTTCGTTCCACTTCATCGTCGTTATCATCATTATCATCATCGTCGTCTTCTTCATTGTCGTTCTCGTCATCGAGGTTCTCACCGCCGGGACGCGGCTTCTTGTCAGCAAAACGACGTCACAAAGGGGGTGGAATGGAGAACTCCTTCCGTACGTAGAACAGAATGTAAGGCTTACACTTTGCAACAGACTCTGTACTCGCCGGCCGCACGGAGCTGTCGTTAAAGTGGAACCACTGACCGTCGTGCACAGCGAAGGCAGTGTAGTGGCCGGTACCCGCACTGCAATGTGAAATTTTATGATGTAAATCACGGTTCTGTTTTGCAGAGAAAAAATTTAAATAATGACAATAGTCTTTTCATCACAAATGGAAATGTAGCGCATCTATACAGTATCTTAACACGAAATCTTGCCTTGAAATTGAAATTTTTGCGATCAATACGTAATGATCAGTATGCAGTTCAATTATCACCGGTATGTTCGAAAAAGAACGCTGGAGGACGTTTTTTTAAAACGTACAAAGATATACAATTGTGCTGCGTTATCTTATCAGATATGAGTGTGGCACGTGATAGTTTGTTAGCACGAAAAAAGTTTCAATATGTTTTCCTCGCGAGCGAGGGACCGACCAGCCGGTCGGCCTGTAATTAGAAGCGTTTGTTTAGGAGCGTACCCAGAGCCGTGGTGTACGATAACGGCAGCCAAGTCGTAAAGGTGACTATTCTGAGCGCCCAATCTCGTCCCGGTCACGCCGCGTACGGTGAACGCAGACATGTCGAGAGACTCCATCGGAAAGTCCACCTGCGTGTCCACCTTCGAGCGATAGGAATTACACCACCTAAATCTTTTAATGTGAAGGCACAACACCTGTAAACAGGCGCAACGTGAGCGTCAACCGTTGGTCGAGTACGATGTCAGACGTGTTTCTGCTCGATCGAAAGCTCCTTTCTTTTCGGGTCGCGTTCGTTCATGCAAACTATATCGAGCGAGACACGCAGGTTCGTGAATGTATTACGTTCATTAAAATTAGAACACCATAAAAAAATATGTATACACATATTTATATATCGCTCATGTGTAAACAAAAAGAAAAAATGTACATATTCTTTCGATACGAAACAATTATTTCGTTGAAATAAAAGTTTCAAATTCGTGATTAATGTAGGTCTTATGTAAAATTCCCAGGTATTTTTGAAACACTCACGTTAGGCAGCCTGTGTATCCAGAACCTCTTGGTGGACCTCTGCTTGCCCATGCAATTGTCGCAGAAGTAGAGCTCGCTGTCAGCCAGCTCCTCGACCTTGAAGAATCTCGTCAGACTGTAAGTCAGACTGCATACTTCCTCCTGTTCCTTCGTCCGTCTCTGCAGTCTGTCCGGTATGTCCAGCGAGAGATCCTGGAAGGGCTCGTGCGTCTTCGAGTCTGTACGGCAGTTCATGCAGTGGACCTGCGCGAGGAAACGCGATCCATAATTCGTCCGCGCTTCTCCCAAGAAGAAAACGAAGAAGAACGTGATTTTGGCTAGCGGTACCGATCTTTTTTGAGAGCACAGAGATTCCCTTCCTGCCGCTAGAATCGCTCGAAAAATCTACCTAACCTTTTGCGTGCATTCGAGGCTCTCTCTCACTCTCTCTCTTTTTTTTCGGAGCAGGACTAGCAAACTTACCACGCTAAGAAGAGTGCCGCCGAAAACGGCAGTAACGATGCTTTGTTTGCCACGCAATCCTAGAGGCTCGTGTCCTAGTCTGGGCAGCAACTGTAACAGCTCGGTGTGCAGTCGGTCGAGCATGTAGGTGAGAAACTCGTGAGCGTCCTGCTGCTGGTAGCCCCGAAATCTCGGCACGACTTTCCAGATAGCGAGGAACAGGCACTCGGGCGATATGGCCTGGCCGTTGGAGCCACCCAGACTCAGGCCCAGCAGTACCTTTCTCAACTCCTCGGCCAACAAGGCGTCGCTCATGGACATCTCCTTGGCGCGACCCGGTGTGACAATGCGACCCCGATGCGTGGGCGGTTCCAACGACGACTCGTCGAACGCGATGCCCTCCAAGCACGGCATTTGCGTGAGGTACTCGCAGAAGTGGCTGATGTTATTGAAGGACTGCAACACCACGTTCATGAAGCAGGTGTTACCGAGGTTTCTCAGACCGACGACCTTCTTCTCTTTGGTACTCTTGGAGCTGCGCCGCTTGGTCGCCGGTCGATTGTCCGCGCTACTGGCGTCAAGAGCGTGTAACCTCTTACGCGCAGTCCGCGGCCGTAGGTTTCTCACAACCACCTCCGCCTTCCACAGAGCGTCCGGGTCGTCGTTGTCGTGGCCGACGTCGTCGCGTCTCGACGACGGCGTTGTGGGCGGCGACGTGTTCCAGCTCGTCTCATTTTCCTTGTGCTCGTCTTTGCGGAAGGTGATACGACGTATCTTCTCGATCTGCCCATTCGTAGTGTCGTTCACCACGTATTCGTCGCAGGTATAACTGGAAATCAAGCAAGATATGTTGCAGTTTTTCCGCATCTTGAGTCGCGTGCAAATGATTTCTACGTTTACTCGTGACAGTGAAAGCGCGTGTCGATCGGCGTAGAGTGAGGTGAGATGAGGTGAGGTGAGGTGAGGTGAGGTGAGGTGAGGTGAGGTGAGGTGAGGTGAGGTGAGGTGAGGTGAGGTGAGATAAGATAAGGTTAAGTTAGGTGAGGCGAGACGAGGTTTGGTTAGGTTGGGTTAGGTTGGGTAAGGCGAAGTGAGGTAATATTTTCGCGTGTCTCGCGGGATCGAAAATTCTGCTCTTTGAAATTATACCGGTTTCAATTGGGGGAGAGGGAGATACGCCCAGATGGTAGCATGCGACGGTGAAAGCGGAGGGGAAACGAAGACTCACCAGAATACTGCCAGGTTCTCACAGTCTATGCACACGCAGTGCTGAGTATTAGTCTCGTAGTGCTGCAGCGCGTGGCCCGCTACGTACCGTCCGCAGTGCACGGCTCCGCAGTGCAGACAGAGCCAGGGACTCTTCTCGGTGCCGCACACTATGCACGATAATAATACGATTCGTAAATAACATTCGCAATGCAGTCCTTCGATCGATGTTGTTGTATTAACAATCAAGTGAGAGAGCGAGAATGTCACTCTTTGTAACAAATCTGTAGTCTTTATGTAAAAAAAAAAGAGGGAAAACACTTTTAATGTGTTAACTGCCGCATTGAATACAACTATCGATTGAGATATTGAAGATACAGTAAATTAATACGCTTTTTGTTTTCAATGCAATATTTTATGCCTTGTTTCATTTTTTGCTCTCTGTCGGTTGTAAAACCAACTGGTTTAAGTGCGATAGATTTTACTTTATAAATAACTTAACACATTATAGATCATGTGCGGTCAACTTAAGATGAAACTTAAGATGACAATAAATTTTTATCTGTTAATAACTTATTATCTGTTTTCAAATTTTATCCAGCATTTCAGATAAAACTTAAAAAAAAGAACAGGGAAATATGTTAATAATACGCGGTAATATCACGTTGCTAATCAACAATGATTAAAACGGCATTCAATGTATCAAAGGTTGAATTCTGACGTGCACTCAAAATTAACCTAATGTTTCATCGTGATGCATCTAAAAAATTTCTTTCTAAGTATGGTGTATTTTTCTATGTGTAAGTTACGGAAGCTGATAGAAGCTAAAAAATGTTGACGGAAACACAGTCCAATGAGTCTGTGTTTATCATGTCTGTGTTTAGTTTATGATACTTTAATCGTTAAATGTCAATGTGCGTACGCATCAGCCCCCCGTCTTATGGTTTCTAAGATAACTAGGGACAAGTGTATATACATACATACACACACATAAGCACATACAAAATAGATATTGATAGTATTTTTATCGTCAGCCAGAGATCAATACTATCTTGTGTCTCATATATTTAACATTAAATATGGCTCTCTCATTTGTGTATTTCTAATTATTATTACCATTGCGTCAAATTCCATCTAACAAAATTGGACATGTTAAATTACGGGTTTCCAGTGATGCTGTTTGGAATGTTCTTCAACGATCCAGTCAGCGTGATCGACAACCATCCAGTCGCAGGTTGTAATATATCTGGTGGTTGCGAAATTGCGAGTACCGAGTCGGCACCACCATCGTGTCGTTTCGGCTCGTCTCAGCTTACGTAATTCTCGAGAGAGCGCGTAAAAGCGGGATGCGGAGGAGAGTGGGGGTTCGACACACCCCCTTCGCAGCCGATCGATCGCGAAATGTCTCGGAATTCCATCGGGTTTCGGATTCCCCGGCGTTTTCGTGCTTCTTTTTTTTTATCTCCGACCACTCGAAATCTCTCTTCGGGTGGGGACATCGTGTTAATTAAGGCGCCAAGCGAGGAGCGCTTCGATGAGGTATCTTGAATCATTGAATTTTGCGGCGGCGGTGGCGACTGTGTGTATGTTTGAGAGAGAGAGAGAAAGAGAGAGAGAAATGCTCGAATGCGGCGACGCGGACGCGACGATAGAAACGAGTTATTTCGCACCGATCCTCCCTTGTGTCTCGCGGAATACCCTGTAAAGAAATTTGCGATATGTCGATAGCGCAGCACATTCAACCACCTATTTCACTGGGATTGTGTGAAAAATAAGAGATTTTCAGAGTCTGTTTAGAGATAAGCGTGACATGCAAAATACGAACGAATTAAAGCACAAATAATTACAAAGCTCCAAAATTAGAATCATCCATAACGGGAGAGCTTGAATCGTGTGACTCAGGGCAACGGAAGGTGTAAATCCGTCACCGCTTTGCATATGCAAAGCATATGCAGGCGGATTCACGAATCCACATCGACGATCGGAACTCGGATCCTCTCTCTCCCTCACCCTCTTCTCTCGTTCTATCTCTCTCTGCAATCCGAATCCTTCTCCTCCAGGCGGCCGATTATCCGGCATTCGCGAGCAGTAGTTGTAATCTTACACGGCGTGGAATGAGAGAACGAGGCGCTCCTCTTAGAGCGAAGGTGAAAAAGTGCGAACGCATGAAAAGTGAAACGGCGACATCAAAAGTGGAAATCTGATCTTGCCGAAGGTCATTTCTATCTGTGAGAGTGGCCGTTTTCGATGCCTACGTGGGAAGCCTTAAGGGCCATCTATAAATGGGATTGGCAGTAGGCAGTAAAATGTAAGCAGTAAGCAAATTGACCAACCACAGTCGATTATACTTGCATCTACTGCCAATCTCATTGTAGATGGACTTTTAGACGGTGCGGCTCTCGGTGAATCATTCACCATGAGAATCTCCTCGACGAAGAGTTGCAATTGAAAACCAAACGATTAATTTTTTAGTAGAAGTAGAAATGAATTCTTTTTAAAAAGGGAATATAGTTCTATTAAAAAAAAAAACTTTAATTTTTTATGAAAAAAGTTCTTGAAATTTGCATTATTGCATCTTATTGCCGTTTAAAAACTGATTAACTTTTCTTGTTCGATTATTGTAACTATTAAAAAAATAGTAGATACCGTTACGACACGAAGTGCAAAATAGACTGTTAAAAAGATATATTTTGCTAAGAAAGATAATAAACTCTGGTAGAATCATAGTACATTTTTTTTTAATAGCACATTTATATTAGTACATGATATTATTAGTACATTATTTTAATAGCACATTCTTGAATTATAAATAGTATATTTAAAGTGAAAAAATAGTCAATTGTTGCAGAATGTCGATCTATTCCTTTCGACAGAATTCTGCAGTAATTTTTACTATAAAATTCTTTTTGGACACGTAATGTGATTTAGAGACATTTGTTTGTTCTGATCGGATTTAGTCAGCTTGACTCCCACATGTTCACTAAAGAGTTAAACGATAAAATTTCGCCCGAAGAAGCCACTATACCATTCTCTCTCGCAGCAATCGGGAAACGAACTAAGAAACGCGACGCTCGCCAGGTATCTCGAGAACGAGAACTATTTCTAACGTAAATGCTAACTATGCTAATTTTCAGCGGTTTAACGGACGTGAAAATGACCGTGAAATGTAAAACGACGACGATACGCGAGAGCCGATTGCGCAACACCGATTCGTCGCCGATTGTGATTTTTTTCCTCTTACTCATCGCCGATAAGACGAAAAATAGGTATGAGCGGAGGTCTCGAAGAAGACGATTTGCCGGAGTCGCTTGAACAGTGCGATTCACAGTTCGAACGATTTAAATCATCCTAAACGTCGCCTGACCGATAGCCATCGTGCTTCCAGAGTTTCTTGTTGGGATACGGATCAAGGGAGAACGTCGCAGGGAACACCATTAGCCTCGATATCTGCTGGAAAATAAATCGCTGTCGCTGAAACGACGCGGGTGGCACGGAGTGTCGCGACGGACTTGATGCATTATAGTTTCGTAGATAACGAACGGCGTAACGAGATGCGTTATCAGCCGAAAAATGTCTGAAACTTTACGGCCGATTACGTACACGACGTCGCGTTCGTTCATTCAAAGTGGCCTTCTGCTCAATCAAACGATCCGGTAGTTCCCTGCATCATCGTGGCAACTATGACAGCTATACGAAAAAAAACTATTCAGTAGAATTGACTAACAGCACCATAATTGGAATAAATCTTCTCGACTCAATTTGCGAACATTACACGAAAAAATATAATCTTATTCTTAGCGGAATCCTTTTATATATGACTGCAAGAGGATTCTTCCAAAAGGAAAAAATTCTAACAATCAAAAAAGAAACTCGAGCTGGAAGGTGTTACTTTCTGTAATCCTATATTCGAATACAGAAACTCTTACTGAAAGATTAGTTTTCTCTTCTAACGAGGGGTAAACTATTAATCGGAAATCTATGAGATATATTCTACCTTTTTTATGAATATTTATAGTAGAAATTTATAGCATAGTTATTTGTAACAGAAAATGCCTTCTTATGCTAGAAGACATTTCTATTAAGAACAAGACTTGTACTATAGATGAAAGATGAAATTTCTCTAATTTTAAAAATACTGTGTTAAAAATAGAGTATTTTCGTCTTGGTTTAGATTCGTCTTGATTTATTTAATGTCATATAACAGGATTTCAGTAAAAATATGATTACAATTTCTGTATATATGGAAACTAATATTCCAATTATCAAAAGAATATAATATTATAATATATATTATTTTATAGTTTCAAAAATATTATTAAATGAAGAGAGTTTATTTCAATTTTGTGACATTGTTGACGAATACTATTGATGTATTTATTCTTCTACATATAATCATATTTTTGATCATATGCAATACAATCTGTCAAACTTTGAACTGTCATAATTTTACTTGTATGAAGTCAATATTTTTGGGTATATTTTTTGGACAGAGATGTATAAAAGCTTCAACAATAAGATAGTAGAGCAACAAAATTAAGATTGCAAATAGATGTGAGTTATTTTAAAGTAAATGAAAAAAGATTCCTTATAAAATAAAAACAAATTTTTATAAAGTCGAAAAATGTTTTCTAATTAAGATATTTAAATAACAAAATTAAAACGGAATTTTACTAAGAACATATATTTCTTGACAAAATCTTGGCGTTGTAAAATTTTAATATTTATTAACTTTTTGCAAAATAATCTGTGACGCTACTTTCAAAACATCAATTTTGTTATTAAATCTGTGTTCTCATATTTTTCTTAATAATTGCGCTAAAAATGGACTTTGAATAGTGAGATTTTTTTTTTAATGCATGTAAAAATTTCAACCTTTTGATAGTTTTGATTAAAACAGACTAGCTCTCCCTGCGCAAATCTTACACATCACAAACTTGGCTGAAACTCACAATTTTTTTAGTAAATAATATAAAACAATTTTTAAGTTATCAACAAATTAAGAAAAACGCAGAAATTAATATCTATACGCGTTTGAAACGTGATAAAAAAATTATATGACGCGTACAATCTTGAGTTTGAGATCTAAAAAAGATTTCAGGTGTGCACTGCTCGGCTACTTCAAAGCGACTAACAGTCAAACTGCGCCTTTGTATATTCTAGACAATGAAGT